TGGCTACAGCCAAAACGGAGATCGTGCTCCTCACCAGGAAACGGATCCCAACAATTATAAATATAATGGTCGGAGCTCAACTCGTGACGACTTCTAGGTCTCCAAATACCTAGGGGTGAAGCTTGACAGCAAACTCACATTCTGGGAACACATCCATGGAGTATGTGAAAAAGCTGCGCAGAGCACGGCGGCTCTAAGCCGGCTGATGGCGAACGTGGGCGGCCCGAAGCCATGCCGCAGGAAGCTTCTGATGACAGCGGTCCAATCGGTGCTCCTGTATGGGGCAGAAATATGGGCTGACGCATTGAAAGTCAAAAAATACCGGATTCAAATGTCTTCGGTACAGCGCAGAGGGGCACTACGCATTGCTTCTGCATACCGTACAGTGTCCGCGGACGCGGTTCTGGTTATTTCTGGCGTCATGCCAATTGAGCTACTTGCTTACGAGCGAAAAGAGATTTACAATCTCAGTGCCGAGATAGGTCGAGCAGCTGCCGCGGCAAGGGCGCGCGAGCAACTGATCCAGCAGTGGCAACAAAACTGGAACGCGAGCACAAAAGGTCGATGGACACACTCCCTGATAGCCGACCTTCAAACATGGCTGAACAGACCACATGGGGAAGTCGATTTCTACCTGACGCAATTCCTCACCGGTCATGGTTACTTCCGAGAATATCTTCATAGAATGGGAAGGGTGGACTCACCGTTCTGTCACTACTGTGGAAACGTCGAAGATAACGTGTACCACACATTCTTCACCTGCGAACACTTCTTGATCTCGCGCAGAATGTTGGAAGAAAGACACGGAGACATTACTCCGGACAACATAGTTGGGATAATGATTTCCAGCGCAGAAAAGTGGGAAGCAGTTGCGAGATACGTGAAATTCGTACTCCGCTGCAAACGAGAGGACGGTTGTCTACTGAGGACACCCGAATGAAACGCCCCTACAAAAGAGCAGCCCCAAGGCTCTAACAGCGCGCTCCTGCATCTGAAGACATGCAGAATTGCGGTGCCAGATGCGGGATTCTTGCGCGGGCGGTGGGAGTTTGGGTTTTAGTGGGTAGCCCAACACGCTTCGGTGGGAGTCCCACACTCGGGGAAGGTAGTATAGAGACTAGCGCCCCCGGCCAGTGCATAAAGCATTTCCCTCTCCTACGAAAAAAAAAAAAATAATAAGCCTGCTGGACATATCTCCGTCAAGACCCTAGTTAACCTTCTCAAAGAACCAACCATCCTTCGGATTTGAGAATTGGTTCCAACGAGGAGAAGCCAAGCCTCGGATGAGCGTCGAAAGGATCGGGATCGACGCAGGAACCTTCAGCCCGATCAAGATGACAACCGGATAACACAAACCCACAACCAACTGTCGTAACAACGTTGGCGTTTTTAATTCGTATGCAGTTTTGTAGCCCATTAAATTTTAGGATAATAAAGGGCAAGTAAAATAACTGGGCTCCATAATTTGTGAGACAGTCCAATTTTTCGTTGCCTTCAAAGCATTCATGTCCTGGAACATACAACAGCGTTATGCTATTGTGGGCTCCCACGTGGTCCAAAAGCCTTAATGCTTGCCCAAGTTTCCCGTGTTCCATCTTCGATCTGTCGGCATACCATACTTGGGACCCTTCGTCTTAGTTATTATTCGTCATAGTTAATATCGCCTCACATTAGTCTCTTTAAGGAATTCTGACTCGTAGGGTTTGTAGCGGGAGTCCGAGCAAAAAATAAAACTCAAAACATAACGATTATTTTCTGAGTAAAAAATAAAGCTCAAAATATATTGATATTGAGATAAAAATCAGTGCCGCTGAAGGTACTCCGAGTAATAAGAAATATATTGGTTTACTCCTTATGGACGTAGCATTTCTCTTTCCGCGTGATTTTTTGAGTTGAAATTTCAAAGGATAATCGTTATTTGCGGTCCCTGGAAGGTGTACAGCCGCAGGCAAATGCTTGGTATAATATGTATAGTTAAATTACTGACAGGCTCAATTTCAAGTCCGCTGCTTCTGGGCGAAGTTAGCCTTAATGTTCCCTCCCGGGTATCAAGACACTTTTGCCCCACATTTCTGAAAGCTTCTAAAACTAATTTTGAATTGCACGACCCACTCCGTTGCTTATGCCAGGATTTTAACTCTCATTCCAGCACGTTTGATATATCAGATCCGCTTTTCAGCATTAAGAAATCGATACGGTCCTCTCTCAATAAATGAATCATTAAAATAAAGACATAAAATCGGCTGATGAATTTAGGTCTGTAGCTGAACAGTTTTAGATCTCGACACTTAACAAACCCCTGCCTATCGTGACTCGGCGTAAAAATTGAAAATAAATACCGGTTCCGTACGTCATGCGGACTGCGCCCCTTGTGCGGATGGGCGGGAATGGAAAAACCGTTGGGATTATTAATAAGGGTGTACCATGTGTGGCAACAATGCACTTTATTTCGACCGGAGTTGGAACATATTAATTACATTTATACTTAAATTCCTTCTAATTACAATTACTCAGTAATTAAAAAAAAAATACCAAGTACTAATACTTTTTATTTGTAATTGGTAATGAATACTAACATTTCAATTCTTTTGCAAATAGTTTCAATTACTTCCAATATTGAGCACTAAATATTGTTAAGTTATAAGCATTTTCCAGTTTAGAAAAAGAAGCTAAAGAGGTTGGTCTAGCGGTGAACGAGGGAAAGACAAAGTACCTCCTGGCAACATATAAAGAGTCCACGCGCTACGGGACACACGTCACTGTTGGCAGATATAACTTTGAAGTAGTGAAGGACTTTGTCTACCTAGGATCCAGCATAAACACCACCAACAACGTCAGCCTGGAGATCAAGCGAAGAATAACTCTTGCCAACAGGTGCTACTTTGGGCTCGGCAGGCAATTGAAAAGCAGAGCCCTCTCTCGACGAACGAAACTCACGCTCTACAAATCTCTCATCATGCCCGTCCTTTTATATGGCGCACAATCTTGGACGATGTCGAACAAAGATGAGAAGGCTTTGGGGGCTTTCGAGAGAACTATTCTACGCAAAATCTACGGCCCTGTTTTCGTGGATGGCGGATATCGGAGAAGATGGAATGAGGAACTGTATGAGCTTTTTAACGACATGGACATAGTTAAGCGCATAAAAATACAGCGATTGCGTTGGCTTGGACATGTTGTACGCATGGATGACGACTCTCCGGTGAAAAGATCCTTCGACTCCGCACCCATGGGTGGACAACGAAAGCAAGGGCGCCCACGAACGCATTGGAAGGACCAAGAGCAGAAGGATCTGTCTGCGCTCGGGATAACCAACTGGCGCAAATTCGCGCAGGAGAGAAGCAATTGGAAAAGCTTTTTGGTCTCGGCCCAAACCGACAAACGGTTGTAGTGCCAAATAAGAAGAAGAAGAAGAAGAAGATAAGTTCCAAGCCTTTCATTAAACTTAAAAATGGACAAATAACAACTAAAAATACAAATTGTATATTAGGTTCCTTACCTACAACATCAGTAGCATAAAATAGTGCGCATAGTATTATACTGTAATACACAGAAATAACCCTTCCAAAATTTCGTGCGTAAAACATAAACTAAAATCAACTGTACCTTGTTATAATCGGAGATTGCTTAAGAGCGGTATAAATAAATATAATTAATTTTAGTACAGTTTGACTGTAGAAGCGCAATTAAACCATATCCAGTGGTTTTTAGTATATCAAGCTTCACTACGTTTTCTTTTATCTAGGGTTTATAGAAGACCTGCTAATTTTGGATTACGATTACTGTAGAGTATCATAGTGTATAACACACATTATATTGCTACATACCTTATTGGCACCTTAAATAAAATAGGTTACTTTAAGAAGTGAATACATTGAAGTTTCGTAAAATAAAGACATTCTATTCGCTACCTTGGCACAGTACGCATCGA